GACGCGTTTTTACGCATGGACTCTCGTGGGCCGGAGTATAGGTTAAAATAACACAAATTATTTAAATGTTCTATCGATACAAAAAATAATTATTATATCTAGATTAATACCAAATTATAATTCAAAATATAAATTATCATATAGCCATATAGGGGATTCATAAATTCTGTGTTTATTTTTTTTCTAAATTATAGGTAGGTTAGGTTACCTACGATTTTCTTAAATTTTATTTTTTGATTGATTTACTAACAAAATATACATATAACTACCAACAATTATCGTTTAAAACTATTAAATAAAATAACCATTGAAGTGAAGTTACATTCCATAAAATATTGATATTATTTTTCTGTATAGGTACACTGTATAATTTTTAAAATGTTTCGACATCTTGATCTCATATTATAGAGATTTCAGAATTGACGTTATCGATTTTATTTTTTTATATCTTTAACTTTAAAAAAATGTCCACTTGATCAAACGGTTTAAAAATTTAACACAAAGTTCCTTATAAGTTTTATTATAACCATTTAAAAATATTAAAGATATAAAATCACAATTTTTTTTTTACATGCATTTAAAGTTCAAACCTTGTCAAAATCACAACAATTCAATTTATATTTAAACAATTTTTAAATGTTCAATTTTTAATTTTTAAGTTTAAGACTTGAAAATATAATATAGGTTCCTCATAAATAACTACCTATTGAAACCGTGTTATAAGTAAAAGTAAAACTCTAATATAGGTAGTACCTATGAAAAAAAAAATAGAAATATGAATTTTAAAAAAAAAATTAGCACTTATAGATCTACTTATATCATATCTATAGGTATTATCTTATATTTAACTTGTAGTAGCCAGTAGGTATATTGGTTATTACTTATTACTTATTAGTTATTATACACCTTTGTAATTTGTATGACTACAATATTATTTGTAATATTATATTCGTAATTGCTTCAAAGTTCACTAGTTGGATTCATATTCTTGGTCTGCTGCTTATCGACGGCGTACCATTTGATAATAATAATACGGGATAACAATGGGGAAAATAGTAAGTAGAATATTTTTTTATTTATAAATATTAAATAACTAGATACATATAGGTAATAGTATTAACAATTAGACGTTTTATGATGTGTAAATAATTAATTACGTTTAGCAAAACCAGAAAAATCCTTAAAAATTCTTCGTAATATCTTTAATCAATTTATACCAACAATTTATTTCGTTGAAATATACAGCTGCTCAATTCTTTTTAGTTTTGGGGGAGACTGCTGGGTCCCCAGAATCACCCGTAAGGTACCTATAATATTATTATTCAAGGCGGGCCATTAACGATTTGATAAGTTAAAAGTCATTTTCAACTTATTAACTTCACTTATTAGCCCTCTGTTTTAATTAACTTAACTTAACTTAACTTTAACTTAACTCATTTTTATATACATATACAAATTACTGTGTATTCTGCTATGTATTATTCTAGTTTTTATTTGTATTTATAATATTTAATTTATTATTATTTGTAAGTAAATTGTCGTTCCCTACCTTCAACACAAGCTCTGCTTTTAGATGGCAGATAAATCTCTTTGTTTATTATGTAGTTTTTTATATTTTGTGTAATAAATAAATTTAATTAAAAAAAATAAATAAATACACGTTAACTTAAAATCAACTTATATTATTTTTAATATTATTCACTAAGTTCATTTTGAATTTTCATATTATCCAAATATTATTTATATTAATTATAAGTTTGTAGAATATAGAAAATGTTATTAGAGAAAAAAATATATTTACAAAGCATTTCGCACATACTTTTTATAAATAAAAACTAATATGTCGTGTCAATTGGTTACTAATCAATAATAATATAGGGGTAACAATATGTAACATAATATTTGTTTAGTCTCCCGTCCTGCCCAGCCATGTTATGGTTGCACTTGTTAATGTATTATATATTTTACAGGTGAAATGCCAGAAACGTTAGGCTCATTTTCGCTAATTCGCAACTTCAAAGATCTGATCCAATACAACGGAAACAACGAATTGAATATCTTCCACGGGCTAAAAGTTTTTACCATGTTATTGGTGTTGTTCTGCCATAAATTTCTATATTTTGTAATAAATCCGATCACGAACGGGATTTACCTTGAAAAGGTAATCCAAATATTATAATGATACTATGATGCACGTGACGATCATTTACATGACCTATTTCTAAACATTATTTATATTAAGAGGACGCTCTACACGGCCATTTGTTCTCTCTGCAGTCTTACATGTGCTTAACATAGCAAATTTACGCTCATCAGATCGCCTTTAACTCTGTTAGTTTGAAAATTAGAGTGAATCGACCTATAATGAAACTTGATGTTAACTTTGTAAATTTGTATATGATGTAGCGTAAATTAAAGATGCTCATAACTCACTCAAAAGCTCTCGTAAAAAACCCATATACAGACACAGATAATGTTCTTAGGTACCGTAACATTTCATAATAGGTCGATTCATTCAAATTTTTTAACTAACGTAGTTAAACGTGATATGCTGAGCGTCAATATGCTGTATCACGCACTTGTGAGACGGAGACAACAAATATCTGTGTAGCGTCTTCTTAATTATAAATATAATTATATAATATAATAATATAATAATTATAAATTATACTAGTTTATAATTTGTGAATGGTTTTATTTTCTTGCGTTTGTTTCCGTTTTATTGAAGTTTTATGAGGACGGATCGGATTTCTTATTGACGGCCATGAATTTGATCGATCCGTTTTTTTACATCGCTGGTTACTTAATGTACGTCATGTTGATTCCGCAATTCAATAAGCCCGGAACCAGTTGGGGTTATATACTTATGGTGATCGTGTACAAATACTTGAGGTTTGTATTTTTATCTTATTGATATAATATTACACAATAATTATTAATTATTGTGATCCGTGAATAACTATGGTATAATAATTATTATTATTAAATTTAAAAGAATAAATACATATTTTATACTTGGTCGAGTTCGACTAATCGATCCGTTTTAGCCATGTATATTATTATAATATTTTATACTAGGAGGTGTACAGAAATATTAAATCGTATTATATTTTTATTTATTTATACTATAATAACTCGTAGACATTATATTTAAACCAAGAATGCCACAGTCAGAGCCATAGCATGGTTTATCAGTGCTCCTGGTATTTAACATATTTCCGATCATGAACGTTATTCTAACTTTTATATTATATTATGTAAACAAAATATATTATAGGTAAAGGTAACATTATATCTCCTTCCTCAAAAAAATCGGGCTGGATAACCACATTTAATATTACAATTTATTTTTGACTACTATAACAGGGACCTACTGCATGCGTATTATAGTGTATTGGACATTGGTGAATAGCAATCTATCTTTAATGGACCCATATTCAAATGATTTATTAAATAGTACAATTTTACTAGTTTGTGCATATTCTATGGATAAAATGTATACCTATTATTAATAATTACATATGTAGGTCTATATTTTATTCTGCTATTAACGATTAATGATGATGATGACGATTGTTCTCGAATAAGGGTTCTGCCGTCGTACGTGATCATGATGATGGTGACAGCTTTCATCATTCCTCATTTGGGTAACGGGCCGTTTTGGGCTTCACGGATATGGCCTGAAGCTGATAAATGCAAAAACTATTGGTGGGCTAATGTATTGGCAGTCAGCAACTATATACAGTCGAAAAACCAAGTAAATGAAAAAAATATACATTTTGATGGTTAAGAACTATATATTTATTAATCGTTGAAAATGTGAATATCAAATCAGTCCCTAAAATTGTGTGTAGTACGACATTACTATCTAGATACTACACAGACACACAGTAAACAATATTTTGTGTTAACCTTAATTCGTGATTGTTATTGAGAGTACTGAGTAGCTATTTTTATTATTAATAGCTTAGTAGTTAACGGTGGTATATATAGTAGGTATACTAGTATTTATCTAGAAATAATTTAGATTTGACCGATTCGGGACTTTGGGTGTAGTACGAAAATTTGGATATTTTAGGGACGGTATTAAAGCTCCAAATAGGTTATAAAGTGGTGATAATACTCAGGACACTTCCCTATTTAACAACATTAATCAATCCGGTCGCTTAGAGAGGACATTTTAGTTGAGTTTTTTGCCGCTATTATATTGGGCGTTTCGAACAGAACTTTAGTAAGGATATGTATACAATTTAAAAATATCATAATTATTATAATTTATCATAATTTAATTTATTTATTTATTAACTTTAGTTTAGACGTTTAGTTAGTTACCTAATTAATAATTGGTGATCAATTTTTTTTTCGATTTCTTTGCCACCTTGCGTCCTTGCTACCAGGTTACCTGGTTACTGCTATCGACCGTTGGTAAGTTGGTAAATAGTATAACACACAAACATTTGAAACAGAAGCGCTATCAAAATAGCGGATTAAATAAGTACTAAAACGTCCTATGATTGCGGACACAATTATAAGTAGAGCCCGGATTTATATGCATTTAAAAAGTGTCAAATATGATGCAAATATGCAAAGAAAAAGTGGCTAAATATGCAATTATATGCATTATGTTACACTTTATAAAATGTGTTTTTTTTTTAAAAAAAAAACCACACTACTACACCAAAAGAAATTCTAAAAATGTTAACAAAAAACAAAAAAAAATGATTATATCCACTGCTCTGTATTTCAAATCATTTAAATCAATCGAAAACATTTAGGAAACTTAAAAAAGAGAATACAAATAAAAAAACAACTAAAATCATACATAAATATTTTCATCATTTAAAGTTACTCTTAAAAAAACAATGGAGAACTTAAAAAAATACAAATCTTTTATATAACATTTTGAAAATTTAAATATTTTAAACATTTTACATTAATAATATAAATTTTAAAACTTGTCAGAACAACACTAAAAATTAAAATATTATAATAGGTTCTTTTTAATAATTTTCATAACAGTGAACAATAATATATTTTTCCATATTTTCTGATGTCATGGAAGTTCTTTTTTCAGTTAGAATTGACTTATACGTACTAAAAGACCTTTCTACATCCACCGAAGTTATCGGTGCATACTTCATACATGAACACATAGAAGGAGTTAAATTAGATGGCATAATACTGTTTTCTTTACCTGACAAAATTGTTGTTATCTGCTTCGCGGTTTGGAATCCAACATTTTTTTCAATTAAATATAACAATTTTTCTTGAATTATTTTTCCCTGTTGTCCTGGTACTTTTTCCATCGCCAAAATAACATTATTTACTATTTGAATAGAATCACACAAAGTTAAACTAGAACGTTCCAAATTTTTTATACTTTTCACTAGTATAAAAAAATGAGATTGAATAAATGTAAGGTCATTTTTAACAGACTCCAAACTTAGCATATTAATACATTTTTTATACAACAACATTTTTATATCTTCTAATTTCTGTAAAATTATTTGAGATTATCAAAATGGTCTGCGCAAAAATTAGCTGCTTTAATCCATGTCCCCCATCTGGTTAACACTGGTTCTGGCGGCAAAGGCACACTGGGCATTATTTCTTTGTATACATCTACTCTCTGAGGTGCTTTAAGAAATACTTTTTTTAAATTACTAACCAAAGTATTTACATTGGGGTACATTTCTCTAACTTTTTTGCTAGACGCGTGGATCATGTGAGCAAGACATGAAATGTGTATCATATTGGGAAAAAATACGTTTAATGTTTTACCAGCTTTGATCATATATGGTGCTGCATCGGAACATAAAAGTAATACTTTTTCATCATTCCCACCATGAGGCCACAATATTCTCAGGCTGTCATTTACGAAGCGAGAAATTGTCGAATGATTAGTTTTGTCTAATTTTTTGCATGCAATTAAAAATGGTTTACTAGGACTTTGTTCATTTAACACACCAACCAAAAGGTTTGCAATATAACTACCGTTGATATCTGTAGTTTCATCAACGACTAAATATATATACGAGTCTCAATTTTTTTCTCTAATTTTTTCAATGTACTTACATAACACGGATGTAAGAAAGATTTTCGTAGAGTGCTTTCATCAGAATGTGTTTTTTGTATAATTTGTAAAAAATCGTGGAAGACTGGATTTTGTAGCTAAACCAAGGTATATTGCTGCTATGAGGCTCAAACACAGATCTTCATTAAAACTTGATGTTTTTGGTTTGATTTCATCTCCCATCAACATTTGTTTACTATTGTTAGAACTTTTTTTCAAACATTTCAAATGAAATCGGTATTACATGTTGTGTTATTTGACATTTTTTTGTTACAACGCACTTGCCGGTCACAAACTTGACAATAAATTACTAATCCACTAGTGGTAAACACAGTTTTGTCGCGATTATAAGGCTCAATCCATCGAGTTATGGATGAACCCAAATTAGATTTAGTTTTTGGCATTTTGTCTTTGTTTTTAAAACGGGATAAACAAGCACTACAGCGGACAAACACGTTGACGTACGAAACTACGAAGATGGTCGATGACTGCGTATTAATTAATTGTCGTCGTGCCGGGTGGTGGTTATTATCACCGGTCGACATATTTCTGTCGGCCGGGAATTTCCGACTATTAGATTATTATTAGCGACTTTATTCGGGACGCGAGTGTGTAGTACGTACTACGTATGTTTGTTACTACCATCATATCTATCATGCTCCGATCTCATACAGTGAGGTAATTCCAAAATTTATTGTAAAATATAATTATTTATTTATTAAAAACCTATTAAATATGCATGTCATATGCATTATGACAAATATGCAAAAACCCTCGAAATATGCAAAATATGCAATATAAATTTGGTTGTTAAAACGGTTGTGGTATGAAACGTGGACATTTTAAAACCCCATAGACGTGCATACACTTAGTACGAACATGCAAATGCATATAAATCCGGGCTCTAATTATAAGCAAAGAGTCCCCCGACCTTATCTTCTAAGACCGTGGTTGGGGGTATTCAGATATGGTTGATATATAGGTAAAAATTTCTGGTACCTACATATCAAAAAAAATGGGAAAAACTAAAGTACCTAAAAAAATATAGAAAAACTGGGATAATAACCTAACACCAGTTTACAACAAAATCTATTTTGATTTTTTTAAATTCACAGTGGATAGCAGTAATACCGTAGTATCGTATACATCTGAAAGTTTCACTAAATAATTACTAATTAAGTAGGTATATTATGTAGCAATTTTAGATTTGACATTATTTACAAATATATTTTGGCTCGTTTCAGTTAATTATAGACATTTAAAAAGCATTTTTTTTTAATTTATGTAAGTATAGAAACTAATGATTTTTATATGGTTAAAATGTTTACTATACTTCAGATTACTGTATACCTATGTCCTATTATGGTACATTGTACATACATAATAATATGTCGGGCAAATTTAGAGAATATTGAGTAAAATAAATATATGTGTATGTATATTTACTATATTATATATATTTTATACCTACGATTTAACAGATTCCACAGTTGTTGTTTCATATTTATCACAGAATATAACAATAATTGTTGTAGGTGTGGAATGATTTGGGAAATGTATCATACCCTTATCGGAGTACCTATTTATTATATTTTACTGCTACATTATAATGGGGTCTAAGAATAGTCGAAAATTCGTCTCCCCCTATACCCATTTCAAAAAAAAAACTAATCACGCCACTGGATATATACTATATTATATCATTATAAATTATAATATGCCTAATAATTTTCGTTTTCTGTTTAAGTGTCTCATTCCGGCTGGACGTATCGTGTCTGCTGCAGTTTCTTGTCATCGGGACCACTGTGGTTTACGTTTGCGTCAAACACCGAAAAATTGGAATATATTTAATTATTACACTATTTATTGTGTCTTTGGCGACATCGTTCGTTACAACCTACTTCAACCAAGCGTACGGAATGATTCTAATAATGCATTCGTAAGTATAATAATATACTATAGATACGAAGCAGTGAAACACAATGCTGTATATTTGCAGCATTGTAGCAGGGTAACATATTGTTACTCATCACTAGGGAACGGATTTTTTATGCAAATGATAAATATTATTATAGCATAAACGCATTGGAATAAGTTATTTGAAATTTGATGAGAATTGTCCATGATTTAGATTGTTTTTATTAAAATAACACTTATTGTATTTTACATATTTTGCATATTTCAACGTTTTTACCTGGTTTTGCATATTTAATAAATATTCGTAATTTTACAGTGCATATTTTTGTTTCATCTTATATTTTCACGTTCACAGCCACATGAATTTACCATTAACTATCAAACTACCCATACTTATGAAAATGGGTACCTAATATTTGACTTATTATTAGATTAAATTCAATAATAATATGTAGTATATCGGTTTACAATATTAATAACGATACAATTACGAACGGTCTTCAAAGATAAGATTTTAAGATAAAACAACTTTGGATCATCCAGTGCAATAAGATAAAATATGAATTACAATTTTTTTTCAATTTTTATTAAGGAGGAAAAATAATGTTATTGGCGAAGAACGAAGTGTGTGACGACGAAATACCATTTTTTATACTTGATTTTTACATACTATTAAATCAAATGTTTTTGATTAAATTGTTGGTACATATTAGTAGCATATTAAGGTATTTTTGAAAGCATAAAATCCGTTCCCTACTCATCGCTCTAGACATCTCAGATCTGTCATCTGACATCTTTTCATCAGTTCAGTTATGGTCCTATACTTGTATCTAAAATTAAACGTCGGAAGTACTAGGAAATAGAAATACTATGATTTGTTATTATTATTGTTATTTTAATTTTTCTCGGTATGACGGCAACTATGTTATTTATCGTTGTTAATAGGTACTGTATAGCAAAATTTGTATTATGCAATAGCTATTAGCTAGGTAATTGATTATAAATTCTATAGTAATAAAAAGTAATAAACTGAACGTCGCACGATGACTGTTGATATTAATTAATTTTGGGTTTACGTACTGTTTACTGTCATCATTCGTAAATCGTAATAACATATTTAATTATAAATATAATATGGGTGATAGTCATAAGTCATAACTCATGTCTCATAATATAATAAATATCACCTAGCCATCTACTGTCTAGTCTACTCCATAGTCCCTACTTAAAATATTTAATTTTGAATTGGTACAGTAGTAAACAAAATAATAAGCAATTATTAATAGAATAATTTTTTTAAAATAAATCAGTTGGTCTCGGTCCAGTTAAATTATTTTAATGATAGTCCAGTCCAGTCTTTGTCTTAATTAAATTAACTGGTCCGGTCTGGCCGATAAAAAATACAGACCATGCAGAGCTCTAGTGTTGTATGGGTAGGTACTCAGTAAACTGTTATATTTTTCTTTTATATGTATATACGGGCCCCTACATGAACATATTCAGCGGGGCCATTATCTTCTTAAAGAATATATAAAAATAAATTTAATACAAATAAAATACAAATTTACTTATGAACAAGTTTTTTTTTAACAAAACTCGTCCACTGCAGGTTCTTGGTGAGCCCAAGCAACTCATCGGAGTTTAATCATTACTACCGACCGTTTTACTATCGAGGTACTCCATTCTACGCCGGATTGCTTGCCGGCGTCGTGGTGGAGGAGCTGAAAAAACGAAAAATAAAATTTTCCAAGGTAATCAAATGTATCTGTATTAAATTTTAAATTATTAATAGTGTCTCGTTCAGATTTTTAACTGACGTGACGTACGGGATGATGATCGATATTTATAATATTTTATAATCTCAGTACCTACTCACGGTTGTTGAAATGATTGTGTGACACTTTGAATGGTTAATAATACGTTAATAAATATTAAATCAGTGACATACAAATAACACATAACGCATACATATTTTTTACAAATATACAATTCGTTGAATTTGTTAATAGGTATACTGGGAAGGATTTCTAGGATATATTATTGATGTTAAAAGATTATAATAAAATATACCTAAATACAATTTGATTACGAAAAAAAATATCATTATCCATGCATGATACATTTTGTTGAGCTTTATTTTTATTATAACTATTATAATAATAAAACATATTTTAAATATTTATTTTATCATAATAATATAGACTGTATAATGGAGAACTCATGGGGAGTAAATAGGCGCTCATGTCCCCCTTTTCGTTTTTTTTTATGTATTTGTGTAATTTTCTTTACTTATACATTTATGTTATACAATAATATACCTACAAATTTTATTTTATTGTAACGTACAATCCTGTAAGAAATAATTTAACAATGATGGACTGTATTGACACTCGTACAACCTTTACAAATTCAACCAATAGGTATATTATCGTATTATATATTTTAATTTAAACGTTTATATTTTAAATTATACTACTTAAATAAAATGTCCTTGTCATCGGTTAAAAGCAACGATTTTTATTTTTTTTTTCCTTGACACAGCCGGTCGTCTACGCTGGGACTCTGGTAGTCAGCACCGTTTGCATTTGGGTCCAGTTGTACGGGGCAGTGTTCTACGAGACGTCCAGACCTTACAACGCGATGGAACAGTCGTTGTACGCTGTTTTTAGCCACTGCACGTGGGCTGTTATATTGTTCTGGATAACGATATGCCATTTTACCTCTGGTTACGGTACGTCAAGGTGATTTTATTGTTTAAAAAAAAAAAAAACAAAACAAAACCGATACATTGAATCCACATTTTATATAATATACACTGCTTGGGCGTTTCCGCCGGTAGTTGTCGGTAAATGCGCTACAAGTTGACTAGTCAAAGCTCTCTTGTTTATTTGGTTACAATTAGTGTATCTATAGCTACTTAATAAGTAGGTAGACTATTTTATGGGGACCCAGCTGAAAAGCCAGCTTTCGCCATGGGCGAAGGAATTTCCAATTCTGATTTAAAATATAAACAAATTATAATTGAGATGAGATGAATGATGGTTGTATCGGCTAGGCGTGCGCACGGGGGGTGAATGATGTATCTGGGTACTCCCGACATTTTACAAATAATTTACGGATATTTACCATTTTTTTAAATTTCCAAAACCACCTGTAATAACTCACTTTTTATTTCTGCTGTAGCAGTAATGAAATTGTTACTGTTATAGCTGCAGTAGTGTTATATTATGTACATCGAAACATCCATGTAACACTATAGCTACGACTAATATTCATTTGTGATTATTTTAATTTATTATGACTTATTAGAATTAAAATTTACCAATTCTAAAATTCACGATCTAATATAAAATCGTTTCGTGTGTGTTGATATTATATTATATTATTTTATATAGGTCCAATAGAAAAACTACTCAACAACAGATTAACGGTGCCACTGGGTAGACTATCCTATGCAGTTAATCTTGTCAACATCACCGTCATGATGATGATAGAAAGTAAACAAAGAACAGCTGTAACTCCTTCATCATATTTGTTGGTAAGACAATATTTTGTACTAATCAGTAATCATCGTTTTAATATAGTTGTACTTAATAATATATGAATTCATAAAATTATTCAACAATTGACGGACAGTATTAAAAATCTAATTACAATATACCTAGGTATAATACTTCAATAGTTATATGTAATTACAGTGATGAAACTTATAAGACAATACTTAATAGCAATAATAATAATAGGTAGGTATCATTGATAATAAACACTAGTACTATAATAATCAATGATAATACATACCTATAATATTATAATTATTTTGTAATGTATGTGATGTTTTTGGCAAGAATTAGTTGAAATGAACGTGTTACTTTAGTATGTGGTATACTGAAAAATATCAGTTATATATTGTAATATAATTAAGTTTTTAAGTAGTCTTAGAAATATAAAATATTATTTTTCGAACCTACTTATGCGATAATTATAATTTATCATTGAGTTTATTTTTAACAATCCATAACTTCATAACGAATTTAAATAACTTTTCGGAGTAATTTTAGTTGATGCGATTGGCCAAACATTGATACTTTTGATAAAAAAAAAAAAATAAATAAATAAATAAATACCTAATTCATGTACGTCATAAACGATCCACTATTTCTTTTATACACACTCACTCTCATTAAAAATCACTTACGAATTTACTATATATATATATATTAGTATATAATAGTATGTGACTACGTCAAAATATTTTACTAGACCAATAATGTCAACATAAATTGCCTATAACGAAGTCCTTGAAAATGGTTTAATTATAAAAAAAAACAAAAGCATATTGGGAAACTATCCCGCCAGTCATAGGCTCACCCCCGACACTGGTATATAGGCCTCATGACCGTCCCACAAATCAAAGCCTGGGAAAATTGGTCATATTCAAAAAAGTATTCTATGATTTCATAGAAATAGAATTTCTTAGAACCAAGATAGACGCACCCTGTAAGAAGGGTTCACTTTCAAAAAAAAAATTATCGAAATCTGATCACTACGAAGGGTGAGAGTTAATCCTAGATCTTAAAAATAAATATTAATTATAATATAAAAATTGGAATAGAAATAAAGTTGCACAGTCACTATCGATATAATATGTTTATATGTGTGATCAATGTGATGATTAAGGTGACGATACACCGACATGTGTTGTCTTCATCTTACAAACGCATAACAAAGGAAATTATATGTTCTGAATAATCAATTTAACTTGTTTATGTTTTGTATAAGAGCGAATTGACCTGTTACTAATAGAAGAGTATTATCTAGTGAAGCTCATTTTTTTTTTACATTCTGATTTTAAAGCTCGTTATGAATATTTTAAAAGCACGAACAATTTATATTTTTAAAATACTTATAACTAGGGCTCGGATTTCAATGCATTTGCATTTTTTTTTTTGGGATATCTTACGCGATGCTTTCCAAGCTACAAATATGTTTCAAGTACTTCGCAATCCAACCATAATAATTTTTTGGGGCATTTTTTTGCTTTTTTTTGCATTTTTAGCGGATTTCATCATTTTTAGGGGATTTTTTGACGGTTTCAAATTGAAACTTTCCATGCATTTTTTAATTTTTTAGGACATTTTTGACCTATTTGTCGTATTATGACTTATTGGCAGACAACCGTCGATCATTTAAATTCCAAAACATTAAAGAAATTCTTATTGTACAATGCAATGCAAATATAATTTAATTTTTAATTTTAATTTTTATTTTGTTCATTGTAATATAATTTATTAATTTATAATTTATAATTTTTATTATAATTTTATTTGTTCCTCATTTTTTAATAATAATTAAATTTGAATTTATTTAATAAATAATGCATTTTTTGAAACGTCATTTTTTAGAGTTTTTAGGTCATAAATGCATTTTTTGAAATGACATTTTTTTGATATTCTTAGGACATTTAAATCCGAGCCCTACTTATAACTTGTTTTAAAAATAAAAAAATATAAAAAAAAACCTATTAGGTTCACAAGATAAATATTATACTCTTACTTCTAAATTTTATAAAGGGTCAATTCGCTCTTACAGTAAGAGCACCCGCATATGTTGAATCCGTCATACACACGTATGTCAATAGGCTCATAGCAAAAACGTTTTGTTGATAGAACCGCGAGAAGGCTACAGTCATAACTAAAAAACGACATTTTCACCACATATAATGGAGAACTTTGGCTGTGCAATATCTTTTTTATTTTCTTTATCTTTAAAAGTTTTGACTGTTTCAAAATCCAATATTATTTGTGTTTTTCAAACTTTCATAACTTTTAACGAAAAAATAAAAACGATATTGCACAGCCAAAGTTCTACTTTTTATGTGGTGACAATTTCGTAGTGGCGTTATCGGTTCTTTCCCTCTCAAAACAGTTTTTGCTATGTTGTACGTTTGTATGACGGAGAGACACTTAAGGGTGAAACTTCCTCTTAATATTATTAAACATACCCGAGTAAAATAGATTGTTCAGATTTCAGATAGAGTTCGTAAAACGGAATTATGCAGGTGTATATGTCAAATGCTGCATGGGAGCCAAGTAATGTGATAAACGTGCGACTCCCATGTAGTGGTTCAAAAAAAAAAAAAAAAGGTGCATATGTCAATGTTTTATATGAGATAATAGTTAGTCATTTGTTTGTAATTGTAACATTACACTTTTAAAATTAAAATATATACATAATAATATTATTGCTCGTTAATCGTTAACTATTAAGTACCAATTAGTAATTACCTACTAATTTATAAGTCGGCAACGTTCTAAATGTTGACTCGACAATAACTGAAGTTAATTTTTTTTTATTAAAATAATAGCCTATTGGCCACATTTGAAATATATTTTATAAATTGTTGTATTTTTTACTAAAGCACTTGACGTTTCAGGTTGATGGATGGATTATCGGGTCCTTCAGAACATACTTTGTGGGAACTTTGCTGTATTTGATCATTGATGCACCGTTTGGGCTGTTGATCAAACTATTATTGTTTGGAAAGTAAGTAGTTATAAGTTATAATTATATCTATATAATACTAATTACTAGCTGATCCCGTGCAATTAGTTGCCAGTTGAATGTCACGACTTTATATGACTCAAACTTTATTCAATTTGTTATTTAATATTCGGTGTATGGTGTTCAAAACTTTTCTAAAATACTTTTCTTCGTAAACAATGTTTTATATAGAACACGTGGACACGTCGATCGCGTCGACACTATGGCAACACCAAATGAGACGGACGCCAAAACCAAATGAGACGAACGCCAAAAACGGAGGAACTGAACAAAAATATACATCAGTTCTGTAAACGCGTAGGTACTATACTTTCATTTGTTTTCGAATTACTCCGTAGACAATTCTTAACACCATGATGGTCTTGCCGTGGATAGTTTTATTATTTAAGTATTTTATTTGTTGAGAAGTGAAATTTACCGGTAAAATAATATCAGTAATAATAAAAGTAGATACTAGATATTGGAACAGTAAAAAAGCTGCTTTAGGAGTCTTTAATATGTTAAATGATTAAAGTATTCCACTGTACGAACATCATCATACATCATTGTATGAAAAAACATAAAATCAATTTCAAGTCTAAATTTAATCACACACAGTTTAATTACAGGTGTTATACATTTAAAATAATTCTAGAGGTACATCAGTACAAGAATTGTATAATACATTATTTATATTATATTAAAATACATTTTGGTATTTGCTTAAATCATCTGAAAATCTATTGTAAAGAACTTGAAAAATTTCAGTCGTTGAAATTGTTCAAGCTTACAGCTCTAACAACTTGCATTAGATTGTTCTTTTTTCAGATCCAAAGATATGTTTTCAATATATACATATTGTTCATATATTTTTTTTAAAGTAAATATGTATTGTAAACATTTTACTTCCTTTTCATTCTTTTGACCAATTTGAGTTTTAATCATGAATAATTAATTTAATTTTGTATTTATATATTTTAGAACCACTGTCTGGTTGGATAAACACCACACAATGTATATAAAGAAATAATATCAGATATTTTAAAACATTGCTGTCAAAGTCATCATCAGAAACCACATTCACTGAAATAGTAGTTAATATAACTAATAACTATATATTTAAAATGCATAGGCAGAAATAATCACATTATAGATATGCAGGAATAAAAAAGATTTTATAATATTATTATTTTGTGTTACTTATTTTATTTTAAAAGTTATCCTTTTTCAAAAAGTGTGGCTATTCCAAATAATCACCCCCGAAGACGAGAACACAAACTCTATATAAAAACACTCTATACATATATTCTTGATGGTAAGAACATTATCCGTGTTATGATGGAAGTTTTTTTTACGATTATTCAGTTTTTAAGTAATTAAGCTTTTTTAATTTAGGTACATTTATTATGCACGCATAAGTCATTTAAAAATGGAATTATCGTAAAATATCTTTTATCAAAACACAGATAATGTTCTTACCATCAAGTTTCGTAATATATCGATTCACTCTAATTTTTAAGCTAATGGCATAAATGGTGAACTGCCGAGTGTAAATTTGGTATGTTACTCGATTCTAAGACGGAGACAACACATGCGGTTTGCTGCTTGATACGTGCCATCACTTGACTGTTTGATAATTGATAAACAATTTCATAGAAATGAAATGGTCAATGATGCGCCAAGCTTTGACTTGCTTATATGACCGACCAGATTGGTCAGTTCACAAACTGGAGACTTGGCATAAATACAAACAAAACGGTTGCTATTATGTTTAACAAAAAGTCAACTATAAACATGCAACAAATAAAAATGACAGGAGTAGCCATCCCATGGATAAATCAAGTAAATTACCTAGGTGCCACCTTCGATAGTTACCTACTTAACTTTTAACAAATACGTGCAAAGCACAATACTCAAAGCTCGAACGACCAAAGGCATACTCTACCCTATTTTAAATAGGAAAAGTCCCGTACCCCTAAAAACGAAACTCCAAATATATTTACTTTACATAAGACCTCTATTAACCTAAGCCACCGAGGCCTGGGGCCCATGCATCTCACACTCAAACTGGAACAAAATCAAAATAATACAATCAACATCAATTCGGACCAGCTCCGGTTTCTTGAATTTTGTATCAAACCAGACCCTCCGTGACTGGGTGAAATTAATCACCATCCGCAATGTAGTCAAAAAGAACTCAAGACGTATTTTTCTCATGAACTCAACTTAAAATTACATCCATATCAGAAACTTAGGCCAAGATGCAGCGGCACCAGCAATGATCACCGATCAAAAGATTCGACCATTCGAATGGTCATAAACATTAAAAACAACTGATGTCAATCATTTGACCCACCTCTTCATAGGCTCAGTGTAATGCAATACAAGAAGGATAATTAAATTAAGAAAATTATACCGATTGACCATTGCTATACATTTTTTTTTCATGCGATACTTACTCATATCGATAAAATTGTTTCGATATTTTACTAATATCGATATTTGTTTTCGATACTAGTACCAACTACCAAGTAAAAGTATCGATGCTTCCTTTCGATATCCCATCCCTATCCACGACTCACTAAAAATATAATCGCGACCCACAGTTTGAGAACCTCTGGATAGAGTGTTTAAAGTGTATTGAATTCAAAATAATTGAAAGAAGTCCCCCTGGACTATGGACATCGATATCAACCTCAAGTTGTCTTACCTTCCGAAAAGCGAAACCACGCCGAACATATTATATAAAAGTGAACTACAATCAATTCTCGAAGGATACCAAGACCATATTCTCTTTTTCACGGATGGATCCAAAACAGAAGCCGGCGTAGGCGCTGCAGTTACATTCTGTGAAACCAGACGAATGCTCAAGCTCCCTGACTATTGTTCAATCTACACAGCTGAAGCCTTGGCTATCTCCCATGCACTAGACATTATAAAACAAGACTCAATAAACAAATCTATCATACTAATAGCGATTCCCTTAGCACACTCAAAAGCATCAAAAACCACTACCAACCTAATAGCATATCACAAAAAATCCAGAACCAGATATCGTTTCTTCAAACCAACGCACAGTCCATCTCTTTGATATGGATACCAAGTCATATTGGCATTCCCGGAAATGAGTTAGCTGACACATACGCCAAACAGTCCATCTCATCTCCACACTCTATAATCCTCTGCTCACACACATTACAAGACTCAAAACACTTCATCGCCGATTACATTCTAAAAAATTGGCAACACACCTGGTCAACTCTACGTACTAAGCTAAATGAAATCAAACCGAGCATTCTCCCATGGCCAACCATTCCACTTCCCCGGCTCCATGAAGTAATTCTTAATAGACTTCGAATAAGTCACACATGGTTAACCCACAAACACCTAATGACCAAAACGAATCCCGAACCATGTCTCTCCTGTGGAGTAACACCTACAGTCAAGCACATCATATGCTCCTGTCTAGAACACAACGACGTCAGAGTCAACCTCAAACTAGCTGACAATCTTTATGAAGCACTCGGCCCGGATCCGGACAACATCCAAAAGATATTTACTTTTTTAAAACTAACTAAATTATATAATTTAATCTAAATACGCATTCGCACCCCAAATTTGAATTATATAACTCTCCCTCCGTTTTATCTTTCTATGTAAAATTTAATAACAGCCAATAATCCATGTTGTTGTGGCTCATTTAATAAAAAAAAAAAATAATTGAAAGAAGCAAACAGTAATCTTCTTCTTGTGGACATGAAAAAGGGCTAGGGTACTAGGTAGTTGTGAAATACAATATGGTGGCCCTGTGAAGGGCCGTTTTTAACGATAATAAAGAGAACTGGCAGAGTTGAAAATGTAATTTTTCTTAACCTTTTAAAATTGTACGTATATTTTTGGTACATTAACCTCCGAAACCGTAAAGGGTACGGCCTTGTCGCTTCAGGGCGTAGACGACGTCCATGGCGGTGACGGTCTTCCTCTTGGCGTGCTCAGTGTATGTGACAGCGTCGCGAATTACGTTCTCCAAGAACACTTTCAACACACCACGTGTTTCTTCGTAGATCAGACCGGAGATACGTTTCACTCCTCCGCGGCGGGCTAACCGACGAATGGCAGGCTTGGTGATTCCTTGGATGTTATCACGCAGCACCTTACGATGACGTTTGGCGCCTCCTTTACCAAGTCCTTTTCCTCCTTTGCCGCGTCCAGTCATGTTTGGTTATTTTGGGTAATTACTTGTTGACGAGTATCCAGAGAAACTGCTGCTGGGGTTGCTGAACGTTGACTGATAACTCGTTTTTGCATTGCATTGCATGTAGGACGACCATTGATTGGCCTATGTACTCTTTTCAGGCAGATGCCTATTAAGAGTTGATGGAAATGTCAAGTAGATAATTAGATAACGATTTTGATTTTATGTATGTGACCAATCGAATGGTCGTATTTTTGGAGTGGTCTTAATTGTCGTTTCGGCTTCGTCACGGCCTAATTCTTTTATATGGCTATGATTTGAGAGGGTGTTTCGATTGAATAGGCGTTTTGAGTTTTCTGTGACTACTTCACGTAGGGTTTTTAGTCTGGCAGAGTCTCGAACGTTTTGGTTGGATACGAATTTCATGAGGCCAGCGCTGGTCCGTATGCAGCTGGTCTGAACTGAGTCAATTAGTTTCCAATTTGAGAGAGAGATGCAAGGGCCCCAGGCCTCGGCGGCGTATGTTAGGAGAGGTCTGATATACATGAGGTAGATTTGTATTTTAGTTTTGAGCGGCACTGGGCTTCGGCTGTTTAGGATGGGGTTAAGCATGTTTTTGCATCTACGCGCTTTGACAAGAGTATTTTTAACGTGTTTATTGAAGGTTAGATATCTGTCAAAACTGACTCCGAGGTACTTGGCATGGTTAGTCCACGGGATGGGTACTCCTGCCATGGTAATATTACTCAAGTTAAGCGTGGTGTTTTTGTTGAACAGAATAGCTACTGTCTTGCTTGTATTGATGCCTAGCCTCCAGTTTTTGAACCACGTTAAGGCCAGGTCAATTTGTTTTTGAAGTGCAGCAATTGCGTATTTCGGGTTTCGATTTGAGGTATAAAACATGGTGTCGTCGGCGAATAATGCGAGACTGCTGTTTACGTTAACAGGTATGTCGTTGGTGTAAATAAGGTATAGGTACGGTGACAGGCAGGACCCTTGTGGCACACCTGCTCTGATTGGACGGTTACTGGAGACGGAATTTTCGACTCGAACGTTGAAATATCTGC